GGGGGGGGGGGGGGCATTCTAGAAGCAAACTACAGTATCAGTGCACATTATATCGCAAGAATGGAAAGAGAACAAAAAAAATGAGTGACCCGGCTCTATTTAACGACGTACTTTAATTGGCACCGGTATCCATGATTCATCGATTAAAATCAAGCTTTTGCAGAAGACGTAGGTTCGATTCCCTTGAGGAAAATTCATGTTGTCGAAAACCTTCGTCTTTCTCCCATAATGCCGCATTCCAACAAACCAGGGTCGGTCATAATACTTTAATACGATGGGTCGAAGCAGCAAGCATAAAATGACCTAGCTAGACCTAAACTAGGCCGACGGGGATTTAAAACATTAAAATTTAAAATCCATTACAGTTTACAATCATGGAATTACCATCTGCGCCAGAGTTTCTTTACATGTCTTTTAGTAAGAGTTTCAGGGAACTTTTCACATAATTAGGTCATCTCGTAAGTTCCCGAGATTAGAAGTGTTACGACAGAAAAAAATGAAATAAGATAAGATAAGATAAGATAAGATAAGATAAGATACATCTTTATTGTCCAGATCCTGGCACATTGGTTTGGTGTTCCACCACGAGTACACGCACACACACGCACACACACATACACACACACACACACACACACACACACAAACACACACACAGGTGCACGCACATGCACACACAAGTAGGCTTACAATCACATACATAATATAAATGAGCAGCAATATAAACGATAATAATCGTAAGCTAGATACACACTCAATGTTATTTTGATGCATGCTCTAAGGTCGTAAGTACACTAAACAAGATGGTTAAGATGGAAGCATTTTGATAGATGATGGTAAAAATGACCTTCTGTATCTCTCTTTGTTACAGATCAGAAGCATGGGTCTTTTACTTCTGACTGATGTTTTTATTTGAGGGAACAAGGGATGTTTGTTGTCTAAAAAGATGGAATTAATTTTCTTAGTGCAAGCTGTTATGTACAATTCATCCATTTTACATGCTTTCCGTATTAGTCGATTTAATTTTTCTTTATCTTGTTGTCTTGTGTTCCTGGCCCATGATGTTATACAAAAATTGATCATACTTTCTATGGTTGAATGGTAGAACATGGACATCAATGTTTTATCAACTTTAAAATACTTTAGCTTTCTAATAAAAAATAATCTTTTGTTCACTTTTTTATGCAGGAGAGATAGGAAAAAGAAGAAGAGAGAAGGACGATAGAGATTTTTTGATAGGAAAGAAGGAGCAAACCAGATAAGAGCACCTGCCAACTACCCACGTTTCAGATCTGGAAGATCTTCCAAACAATGTTCCTTTTTTATTTTTATTTTCATTAAAGTGTATGTGTGTATTTGGGGGGGGGGGGGGGGGGGTTGAACTCGGGGCATCTAGTGCAAAGTAAAGTAAATATTAGACAAAGGGAAGACATTCTGGGCTAAATACGACGAACCGGGACACAGACAGAGGAGTTCAGTTGTCAATGTTATTGTAAGCGGGGCCACAATTATATACTTCCACAGGTCTTCACGTGTCTGTTTGCGTGTAAATGTTTGCGTGTACACGTGCCAGTGTGTGTGAGCAAGTATCTATCATGGAACCTTACCTGTACGTATGGGTGCGTGCTTGAGTGTGCGTCCCTATGTGAGTAATAATGAGTGTACAGGGAGTCAGCGTTTTTTTTTTCTAGTTTAAAGAAAGATTTTACGCTACGTACAGCATCAAAAGGTTATAAAATGCCCCAAAATTAAAGGTATTACAAATCAGTAACATACGAAGGAAAGAATGAGCGGGGATAAAGAGCGTCAGATGTTTGACAGGAAAGAAGGAGAAAACCACATCAGAGCGCCTATGTGCACGGTATCTGAGTATGAGTAAGGAGAAGCACAACGACACAATAATGGTCATAATTAGTGCCGTGAAGAAGTAAGACAGACAGACAGACAGACAGACAGACAGACAGACAGACAGACAGACAGACAGACAGACAGACAGACAGACAGACAGACAGACAGACAGACAGACAGACAGACAGACAGACAGACAGACAGTAAAGATGTACGATGACCTACCAGTGGCTTCCTCCAACAACCCTCACTGATGTGTATGTGATGGCTTGTGGGTGTGTATGAGCGACAGTGCGAGTTATGTTTGTGAGTGCTCCGACATCTTTGTGCATAGGTAAGTATGTGAGTGTGTGTATGTGTGTGTATGAGAGAGAGAGAGAGAGAGAGAGAGAGAGAGAGAGAGAG